TATTGTTTTTTCTCTTGCTACAATAATATTGTCAGTGTTCACAATTCAAACATAATATATTATTTCTAAGTAATATATCAATGATTCTATGTGAAGCATATTTACAGATAAAATTATAGTAGAATCTCGATAAATTAATAACCTCATTAAAATTATACATTTTCGGGGTCCCGAGTTCAAAAATATTTCAATAGATTAATATTTCGCTACTGACCTCTGCATTCTGCTCCAATCCATCCCGGAATTTTCTTGCATATTTTTTTCATGTACCTGCAACGAATTAAGGCGAAATTATCAATGAAAATTGCATTGATATAAAAAAAATAATCAAAAGAAATAAAAAAGTCGGATACATTGGAAAATAGCAGCAGTATGATTAAATCCACAAGAAACTTGCAATGCTTCGACACTCTTGTCAAAGTCGAGCAACGTTGGTTCAATATAGTCAACGTCGTCGCCTTGACCCTAGAAAAAAAGGGAAAAAAAATAATGCAGTTATAAATCTAAAACACAACAGCGAAAATGAAATAATACTATAACACAACCGAAATTCATATCAATTCAATTTTTTTTTCTCAAATTTCAACTTTATTCTAGTTTCAATCCTTTTTTTACTTTTATGGTCGAAGACTCGGTCGGTGGACCGAGTATGAAACTTTATTTTAGTCTCAATTCCAGAAGGTTTACAACTCGTCGTAACTTCTCCGGACGGCCGTCTGGAGTTTTGGCTTGATTTTCGGACGGCCGTCTAGGCTTTTTGTGTCCGTTTTTCGACCTAAAACTTCAAACATGATTAAATTATTAGATTACAAACTTATATATATTTTAAGAAAATTAAAAATAACTAAAAATACGAAAAATATGAGAAAAAAAAATGATAAATGTTCGGGTTGCCTCCTGAGAAGCGCCAAGTTTAAAGTCTTCAGTCGGACGTTGCTTCTTTATTTTCAAGTAAAAGTGACCAAAGTCACTTGGCAATCATTACTCACTTCCCAGTAAGGTTTGAGCCGGCTCCGTTTCACGTTGAACGTACGATTCGAATCTTGCTCCTTTATCTTGACTACTTCGTGAGGAAGAATCTCTTGGACAATAAACGGCTTCGACCATTTTGATTTGCGCTTCCTTGGGAATAACCAAAGATGGGATTTGCACAATAACACCAATTTTTCTTTGTGGAATTTCCCTTTGACTTTATCCTTACGACCCCAATAGCTTGAATAGTCCTCTCGTGGCTTGCTCGATTCTTTGGGTGGCAACATCCTCGCACTTTCATTGCCGTTAACACCCAAAATCGTATGACTTTCTATCAGATGAGTAGAAATTGA